GAAGGAAGGAAGGAAAAAGGGGAGGAAGGAGGGAGGGAAGAGGAAGGAAGGAAGGAAAGAATGAAGAGGGAGAAAGGGAAAGAGGAAAGGCAGGAGAAAGGGAAAGAGGAAAGGAGGGAGGGAAGGAAGGTAAAAGGGGAGGAAAGAAGGAAGGAAGGAAAAAGGGAAGGAAGGAAGGAAGGAAGGAAGGAAGGAAGGAAAAAAAGAGAAGGAAGGGAGGAAGTGAGGAAGGAAGATTATTATTAAGCACTTACTATGTACAAAGCCTGAATACAGTTCCCCCTCATCTCCCATTCATGCCTCACATCAAATGAAATAATACGTGTAAAGCACTTATATCACATTTATATGATGTCAGGAAAGTACAGTACATGGGGATGGGTGTCTCCACCAGCCAATATGCAGTCTCCTCTCCTTGCTTTAAGTTCACAGTTGTTTATTATTATTGTTATCATTACAGTTCAAGCTAGAAAATCCAGGAATGTGCTTTCCATTTCTCTGGGCTGAACTTCTAACCCTGGAATGCCAGAGAGTTTGACTGGGTGGGGGGTGGCGTGGGAACAGGCGGCTGGAGGTCTAGGGGACCCAGCCTGGTGCCCTGCCCGGGCACCGGATACACACCCAAACACAAGTGACCATCAGTCTTTCATTGGACAGAGTGACGGAGCACCTACTGTGTGGGTTTTATTGTTCCAGGCACTGTAGGTGATTCAAAGGTTCATAGACTTAGAGCGGGAAGGACCTCAGAGGTTAAATGGTCAACCCTCTCTCTTCACAGATGAGGAAACTGAGATACAGGGAGATTAAGTGACTTTAGCCAGGATCGTAGAGGTCATATCAAAAACCAGAGAGATTTGAACCCAGGTCCTGACTCCAGAGCCAGTGCCAGGACCGCTGTATTCACACTTACGTAGAGTATTTCCTTCATGGACACTCTCTGATATAAGCTGAGCTGGCATTCTCTCCATTTTCCAGATGAAGAAACTGAGGCTCAGAGAAACTAAGTGATTTGCCCATAGCCACATGCAATTAGCAAGCACATCTTCAGACCAGCACATTATCCCTGTCCTTAAGGAGCTTATGATATAATTAAATAATGAGACAAGACAGCTTATGCTATAAGGCCACTGATGATTGGGTGCTGAATGAAGAGTCCAGGCAATCAGTGCCATGGGAGTTCAGAAGCGGGCGCCGGTGTGGTCTGGGAAGGCTTCTCGGAGGAGGTGACAGATGAGGAGATTGTAGTTAATGGGGGTACGGAGGAGAACTCTCTGGGCAAAAATTCATAATAACAATAATCTATGTCAAATTATTTAAGTGGCAATCAATAGAGTGTGCCTGGCCAGGAGCTGGATGTGGGGGCAGGGGAGCAGCGGCATCCTGACGGGAAAGGGGCACTGAGCCAGGGTGGAGAGTCCTGCTGTTGGAGTCAACCCAGGTCTGGGTTCAAGTTCTACTCCTGATACCTGACTAGCTCTGTGACCCCAAGCAAGTAACGTAACCTCTCTGGCCAGGCGTCACTAGCCATCTAAGACCTAGCTGTGAAGGCAAGGATTCCCAAGCTCACCTCCAGCAGGGTCGAAGAAGCTTGTTGCAGGGCTGCCTAAAAGGAATTACTCTCTATTTATGTAAATACTTGGTAAACTCCAGGATTTATTTCTTTTCAGATTCAATTTTCAGGTTTAATTTTTTTTTTTTTTTTTTTTTTTTTAGGCAATTGGGGTTAAGTGACTTGCTCAGGGTCTCACAGCTAGTAAGTGTCAAGTGTTTGGTCTGAGGCCAGATTTGAACTTAGGTCCTCCTGACTTCAGGGCTGGTGCTCTATCCACTGCACCACCTAGCTGCCCCTTAATTTTTTTTTTAAGGCAATTGGGGTTAAATGACTTTCTCAGGGTCACGCAGCTAGTAAGTGTCAAGTGTTTGGTCTGAGGCCGGATTTGAACTTAGGTCCTCCTGACTTCAGGGCCGGTGCTCAATCCACTGAACTACCTAGCTGCCCCGGAAGGTTTATTTAAGGCCAGTAAAGGGTTCAGGGACTAGAAAGGGTTGGACTCTGTCTGGGCCAGTTTATCTGGTGGTGGGAGAAAATGGCAGAAGGGTCGGATGGGGTCAGACCCTCCCTGTCCCCCCCGGAGCCCTTGGCCTGGGCCTGGGCCTGGGCCTGGGCCTGGGTCTGGGCCTGGGCCTGCCTGCCTGGCTGGGGCTCCTTGCACTTCCAAGGCATTTGGCTGTGACTGAGTTGTAAGGCGGTTATAACTGCTCCCCCGAGGGAACGTCATGGACGGGGCTGGGTTTGGAGTTGGACCTCGTGGCTCTACTACGGCCAGTATGTCTGAGCCGGACCCAGTGCCTCGCCCTCCGAGCCTTCCATGGTTGGACTGATTCCTAATGTCCTTCCCACCTTTGTATCCCGTGGCGAGTGGTGTCCAGTGTCTCCTGAGCGCCTGCTCTGACACCTGCCCTGGTGTGGGGCTTCCTGGGCAAGAAACAGAGCTAGCCTTTAAATGGTCCTTTCAGGTTTACAACACAATCCTCACAACAACCCTGTGATGGGGAGGCTGTTATCATCCCCATTTTACAGATGAGGAAACTGAGGCACGGAGAATTTAAGGGTCACAGAGCTCATAAGTGTCTGAGGCCGGATTTCCTAACTCCAGGCCCCCGTGCGCTTCCCGCTGTGCTACCTAGCTCTGTCTAAATAGGACTTGATAGGGGCAGCTAGGTAGCGCAGTGGTTAGAGCACCAGCCCTGGATTCAGGAGGACCTGAGTTCAAATGTGGCCTCAGACACAAAACACTAGCTCTGTGACCCTGGGCAAGTCACTTAATCCCATTGCCTAGCTAAAAACAAAACAAAACAAAACAAAAATAGATAAATATGACTTGATCTCAGCCTTCGAGGAGCTGGCCTATTAGTTGTAGCTCTTAGAGTCAATCAACAAACATTTATTAAGCACCTACTATGTGCCAGGCATTATGCTATGCATTGGAGTTACCAAAAAAAGGCAGAAGACAATGCCTGCCCCCTAGGAGCTAATGGTTGAATTTCAGCTCTGAGAATTAATCAGTAAACACTTATTAAGCACCTAGTATGTGCCGGGCACTGTGCTATGCACTGAGGATACAAAAAGAAGCAAAAGATAATCCCTACCCTTAAAGGGCAAGCAGTTTAATTGCAGTTCTGAGAGTCAATCAACAAACATTTGTTAAGCACCTACTATGTGCCAGGCACTGGGCTATGCGCTGGGGATATAAAAAGAGGCAGAAGTCAGCCCCTACCCTCCAGAAGCTGGCAGTTTTGTTGGCTATCTGAGGAGCTAACAGCTTGTGCTTCGGGGGAAAACAGATTTCTCCGGGGGGCCCTGGTCTGTCTCCCTATTTACTTTCTGGCCTTTGATATTTCTAGAGTGATCTGTCGGTAAACAGCCCTGTCTCCCCCCCGATTAATCTCAGACTATTCATTTGTCTCCCGGCATCCAGAGAGAGGGATTTACAAGGCTGGGCGATCTTGTCTGCACACACATCACTTAATAAATAACATTTTAGGGCTCCAGGAAAATGCTTGCTGGGGAAACCACTGAGAGTTAACTCCTTCTCTGCAGGGCTCTTTTTGGGAAGGTGGAGGCACAATCTGCCTGTGGGAGCTTGAGAAGGGAAGTGACCACACCATGTGGGCATTTCTGAGCCCTGAGAAAGCCGGGGTGTCGATGGCTAATGAGCTCTCCGTCCCACCACCGATTTCTCCTCACTGTTTCTTCATCTGCCACTTTCTTTAGTTAAGAGTTATAGACTTGTATGTCTAGAGTCAGAAGGCCCCTCAGAGGCCACCATGCCCAAACTCGATCATTTTACAGCTGAGGAAACTGAGGCCTGGGGGGTAAGCAGCCTAC